TACTGCACGCTGATAGGACAGCTGTCACAATACAGTCTAACAAAATTATTTCAAATGAAGTAAAAGACAACTAAGCACTACTAGAGCCATCTTACAGAAACAAACAGACTTGTGGGTCAACCCAGTACTATAATCACAGTGAATTAACCACTTAAAAAGCTTAATATGAATATTTAAAGACAATAGTAGTAAAATAAACTATAACTGCAATAATTAATCAGGGGTAACACAAAGATAGAAAACACAATGTCAAAAACAGAATGGAGGAGGCAGTAAAAATGTAGTGCTTTTAGAATTCAATTGAACTTAAGTGCCTACCAGCTTAAAATAGACTGCTGTAGGAGATGGACATACATTAACCTCCTGGTAACCAGAAACCAAAAACATACAAAAATACACACACAAGGAAAAGAAAGGAATCTAATTAAACACTAAACAAAACCAACAAATCTAAAGGAAAGAGATCAAGAAGAAAGGAACAGTAGAGAACGACAAAAACAATGAACAAAATGGCAATAAGCACATACCTGTTAATAATTATTCTAAATGTAAATGGACTAAAATGTTCCAATCAAAGACATAGGGTGGCAGAATAAATATTAAAAGCACATCTCATTCATATGCTGCTTACACGAGAGTCACTTTAGATCAAAGACACACTACAAGTGAAGGGATGGAAAAAAGATATATGAAAATAAAAAGAAAAAGAAAATGGTGGTAGCAGTACTCCTATAACACAAAAATAGACTTCAAAACAAAGAATGGAAGAGACAAAGAAGAATATTACATAAGTTCAAAGGGGTCAATCCAAGAAGGGGACATAACTAAATATATACATACCCAACATAAAACCATCCAGGTATATAAAGCAAATGTTAATGGATATAAAGGCAGAAATTAACAGTAATACATAATGGGGACTTTAATACTCCACTTACTTCCATGAATAGATAGTTCAGAAAGAAAATTAATAAGGAAATAATGGCTTTATTTTTTTTTTTTAGTTTTTTTTTTAATTAATTTATTTACTTTTTAAATACATTTGTCTCTGCCTTCCCCCCACCTCTTTCCCTTGCCCCCTCCCACCTTCCCTCCCTCAGCTCTTCCCCTTTGGTTTTGTCCATGAGTCCTTGCCATATGTTCCTTGACTTTCCCCTTCCCTTCCCTTTCCCTGCCCCCCCCCCCTTCCCTCTTGTCTCTGTTGATTTCTTTTCCTTTCAGTGTTGCTGGTCATATTTTCCTTGCTTCTTTGCATTGTTGGTTAGGTTCCGCTTATAGGTGAGATCATATGGTATTTGTCTTTCGCCCCCTGGCTTATTTCGCTTAGCATGATGCTCTCCAGTTCCATCCATGCTGTCGCAAAGTTGAGTACTTCTTTTTTTCTTTCTGCTGCGTAGTATTCCATTGTGTATATGTACCATAATTTGTTGATCCAGTCATCTACTGATGGGCATTTAGGTTGCTTCCAAGACTTGGCTATTGTAAATTGTGCTGCTATGAACATTGGGGTGCATAGGTTCTTTTGTATTGGCGTTTTGGTGTTCTCAGGGTATAGTCCCAGCAGGGGAATTGCTGGATCAAAAGGCAGTTCCATTTTCAGCTTTCTGAGGAAATTCCACACTGCTTTCCATAGTGGCTGCACCAGTCCGCATTCCCACCAACAGTGGACTAGGGTTCCCTTTTCTCCACAGCCTCGCCAGCACCTGTTGTTTGTGGATCTGTTTATGATGGCCATTCTGACCGGTGTGAGGTGGTACCTCATGGTGGTTTTGATCTGCATTTCTCTGATGGCTAGTGATGCTGAGCATCCTTTGAAATGCCTCTGGGCCCTCTGTATCTCCTCCTTGGAAAAGCATCTGCCCAGGTCCTTTGCCCATTTTTTGATTGGATCGTTTGTCTTCTTGGAGTAAAGTCGAGTGAGTTCTTTGTATATCTTGGAGATCAAACCTCTATCTGATGTATCATTAGCAAATATATTTTCCCAAATGGTTGGCTCCCTTTTCATTTTGCTGATGTTTTCTTTAGCCGTGCAGAAGCTTCTTATTTTGATGAGGTCCCACTTGTTTATTCTTTCCGTTATGTCCCTCGCTTTAGGAGACATACCAGTGAAAAAATTGCTGCGTGGGATATCTGAGAGTTTCCTGCCAATGTTCTCCTCGAGGACTTTGATGGTGTCGTGACTTATATTTAAGTCTTTTATCCATCTTGAGTTTATTTTTGTGTATGGTGTCAGCTGATGACCCAATTTCAATTTTTTGCATGTAGCCATCCAGCTCTCCCAACACCATTTGTTGAAGAGGTTGTTATTGCTCCATTTTATGCTTCTGCCCCCTTTGTCGAATATTAGATGCCCATAGAGACCTGGGCTTATTTCTGGGCTTTCTATTCTGTTCCACTGGTCTATGGGTCTGTTCTTGTGCCAGTACCAGATTGTTTTGAGTATAGTGGCTTTGTAGTAGAGTTTGATGTCCGGTATTGTGATCCCTCCTACTTTGTGTTTCTTTCTCAAAATTGCTGCGGCTATTCGAGGTCGTTTATGGTTCCATATAAATTTTTGAAATGTCTGTTCTATTTCTGTGAAATACGTCATTGGTATCTTAATAGGGATTGCGTTGAATCTATAAATTGCTTTTGGTAGTATGGACATTTTGAGGATATTAATTCTTCCAATCCATGAGCACGGTATATGCTTCCATTTATTTGTGTCTTCCTTAATTTCTTTTTTCAATGTTGTATAGTTTTCTGCATACAGGTCTTTTGTGTCTTTGGTTAAATTTATCCCTAGGTACTTTATCTTTTTTCGTGCTATATCGAATGGTATATTTTTCCTGATTTCTTCTTCTTCTATTGCATTGCTGGTGTACAATAACGCCTTTGATTTCTGAATGTTGACTTTGTATCCTGCTGTTTTGCCAAATTCACTTATTAGGTTGAGGAGTTTTTTGGTAGAGTCTACAGGGTTCTCTATGTACACTATCATGTCATCTGCAAACAATGATAGTTTTACTTCCTCCTTTCCTATTTGGATGCCTTTTATCTCTTTCTCTTGTCTGACCGCTGTGGCTAGGACTTCCAATACGATGTTGAAAAGAAGCGGTGAGAGCGGACATCCTTGTCGTGTTCCCGATCTTAGTGGGAAAGCTTTCAGTTTTTGCCTCTTGAGTATGATATTGGCTGTCGGTTTTTCATATATGGCCTTTATTACGTTGAGGAATGCCCCATTTATTCCCATTTTGCTGAGTGTTTTGATCATAAATGGGTGCTGTACCTTGTCAAATGCTTTTTCTGCATCTATCGAGATGATCATGTGGTTTTTGTCTTTTCTTTGATTTATGTGGTGTATCACGTTTACTGATTTGCGTATATTGAACCATCCCTGCATCCCTGGGATGAATCCCACTTGATCGTGATGGATAATCTTTTGAATGTATTGCTGGATGCGGTTTGCCAATATTTTGTGGAGGATTTTAGCATCTATGTTCATCAACGAAATTGGCCTGCAGTTTTCTTTCTTTGTAGGGTCTTTATCTGGTTTTGGGATCAGGGTGATGCTGGCCTCATAGAAGGAGTCTGGGAGTCTTCCCTCCTCTTGGATTTTTTGGAATAGTCTGAGAAGGACAGGGGTTAGCTCTTCCTTAAATGTTTTGTAAAATTCTCCTGGGAAACCGTCTGGCCCTGGGCTTTTGTGTGCTGGGAGTTTCTTGATTACTGCTTCAATTTCCCCAACTGTTACCGGTCTGTTCAAGCTAAGGAAATAATGGCTTTAAATACCATTGTTGTTCTGCTGGAGAAGTTATTCATATGTGTTGGTTGTTAATCTCTTACTAGATATATAATTTGCAAATGTTTTCTCTCTTATTCCATGGATTGACACTGTTGATAGTGTCCTTTGATAACACAGAAGTTTAAAATTTTGATAAAGTCCAATTTATTTTTCCTTTTGTTGCCTATACTTTTGGTGCACATTCAGGAAATCATTGCAAAATTCAATGTCATGAAGTTTCCATATGTTTTATTTTAGGAGTCTTACTGCTTTAGCTTACATTTAGTTTTTGTGTATGATGTAAGGGTTTAACTCCATTCCTTTACTTGTGGATATTCAGTATTTCTAACACCATTTGTTGAAATGACTGTCCTTTTCCCATTGAATGATGGTATTGACATCCTTGTCAAAAATCATTTGACACATGTATGAGATTTTATTCTGGGTTCTCTGTTCTATTCCCTTGGTCTGTATATCTGTCTTTATAGCCACACTACACTGTTTTGATTTTTGTAGCTTTTTTAGTAAGTTTTGAAGTCAGGAAGTATGAGACTTTGAACTTTGTTATTCTTTGTCAAAATTGTTTAGTATATTCAGAGCCCCTCAAGATTCGGTGTGAATTTAGCATGTATTCTTATTTCAGCCAAAAGCATTGGTTTAGTTTTATACCTCAATCCCATGAAAATAAACACGTTAGTTTGAGGAATGCTGATTGCTTTAAACTTAACTGGATCTCAGTCTTCCCATGTAGTAGTTCTAAGAGTCTTAAGAGATCTGTATTTTCCTGTAATTGAGGTTAAATAGAGCAAGTAAAGCCAGAAAGAGAAAGATAGGAAATCTAAAAGGGAACCTAGTGTCACAAAATTTGTTGAAAGGATGTGAAGCATAACCTTTTCATTTGCCATAAAATTGATTTGCAATAGATCTAAGATTTTTCTCTCATTAACCTTCATATTTGAGCTATATAACTAAACCTTGAGACCATACAGTGAACTATGTTTAAATTTCTAACTGATTACTTATCAACGTTACACTGTAAAATTTGACATCTGATTTACCTTTATGGTAATATGGCAAGTAAAGGTTCTCTGGTTTCTTTTTTAATATAACACATCTCTAAAGAAGACCTTTATAGGCTATTGCCGTGTCTTTTACCAGAATTATTCCTAGTTTTGTGGTACCATCCAAATAAACATTTTGGATATATGTATCTGTTATCTTGGTTTTTGTCTTCCAGAATCTTTACATAAGGAAGTACGGGATTTGGCCTTTCTAGATGTTGTGTCCAAACTTCGCAGTCATGAAAACAAAAGTGTTGCCCAACAGGCCTCTCTCACAGAGCAGAGACTTACTGTGGAAAGCTGAGAACTGCCGCTCCCTGAAACATGGCATCATCCCTTCTCTGGTTTCCCCTTTGTCCTCCATCCAGCTGCCTCTTCTGCTTCTTTCTCACCCATATCACTTGTGCATGCGTGTAATGTTTCAATACCAATTGAAGAACTCTGTATGTACCTGCCCAATAAGATTTCTAAACCCATAATTAGTGTGAACATGAAATTGTCCAAAACAAGTCTCCATCCATAACTGTTCTCCTATATTCCTGTTGCTTGAACTACGTTAAGTAGAATGTGCATGTTGTAGTCCTATGATGATGTAAACTTGGTACTACATAATGACTTGCTCCTCACACTTGGTAATCTACATAATAATGTACTGGTAAATTAGAAACAAACAAGAATGCAGCAGGATTTGTCTAGCTTATTAAAGATGATACTGAATAGTAAAAACAGCTCCATTTTTTGGTGCTTGGTAAGCACAATGACCAAAAACTACATGGCTGTTCATTCATTAGTCTTACCTACTAAGATCAAACCTGTGGTCCCTAGAGTTAAATGAAATCCAATGCTCTCCCTCTTCACCCTATGGTTTCTCCTTCCTTAATAGGTAGACTCTTGAAACTGCCACAAACTTGGCAGAACTTCCTGAGGTTTTAATTTCATGTTTAACTGGCTGTCATCAGTAGCCTGATGTTGAAAACATTTGTAGTTTTCAGCATGAAACCAAGGGGTTGAAGAATCTCGATTACACTAATACATCTTGGCTTTTGGGCTATATTTTAGATGATTAAATATGTACAGTTTCACCTCAGAACTTTTTCCATCAATTAATCAGCATCATCTAACACTTGTCTAAAAGTCACATTGACATTGTTTTCAACTAAGGAAATTGAGTATAATTCATTGGAGACTGGACTTTTTTTCTTATTTTTCATCATTCAGCTCAAAAGCAAGAGGTTTCCTCTCATAGTCCTTTTAAATCTTGTATTAGAATTAGCAGGGTATAGGGAAATAAATAAGAAATAGCTTTGTCTAGACTGAAGAAAGGAAGCAGGTTATAAAGCCATAGTAGCCAGTCCAGTTTATTCTGCAGATGGCTTCATACCAGGAGCTGTTAGAGTTTCCCACCTCCACTTTCCACAGAAAACTACAGTAGATCTTAAAGGCTATCAGAAAAGGGCACAGCACCAGGATGCGAGAGATGAGAAGACCTCCTTGGCAGAATATAGTGTACTCTTCACTGCCACTACCACCACCAAATGGATTTTTAGAGCTTTGAAACCCAATCTTTGTAAATTAATCAAAACATCCCTGTGACATACCTGCCTTCTCCCCATGCCCAAGCTTGACAAATACGGGCTGAAAGGTAGAATGAGCTCCAGTGTGGAAGAACTGCAGGGCGGCGGGGTGGGCGGCCAGGGGCACAGCAGCTCCTTCCTCCCCGCCATGAGGTTGTGTACATCTCTAGGGTGATCGAAGTTGGACTTCTGACTCCGAACAGCTATAATTCAAGAAAGTTAAAACCCCAATGGAGGTAAAGAACCCTTTGACTTACTATTCCCTTTGATGTCCAAGAAAAGGACTGTGATATGCTACACTTACTGTAAGAATGATTTTGTTTATGGTCTCCTGGGCTGGATCATGGACTATATTTTATTATAGTTTTGAAAGACATCTGTAATGTTGCATAATAGACTGTCCATATTTAAAACTAAATAAATAAATTGTATATCAAACTGTAAGGGCATCATTTGGTTTTCTTTGTATATTTTACTTCTATTTCCATCTCCTAGAACAGTACTTATTCATTGATGCTAAATAAGTATTCGTTGAATGAATTCCTGTTTCCATGAAACTTCCATACTGCCTAAACAAATTCTAGATCAATTGCTAGAGAAATTAAGATACTTGTCTAACATCAGAGGATTTTTTTATTGTAAGATCTGTCCCCGTCGAAAAGCATTATTTAGAAAACCTCAAAACAGAAGCATCCAGAAATCATAGATTTGAGAGAAGCCTCCATGTGGGTGAGCTGCCAGCAGTCAGTTTGCTGAAAACGCTACAAACTCTTGCCTCCAGCAAAACCAAGGCAATTAAGATCACTAATTGTTCTATGGAGTAACCAGAAGCTTGTGCCCTTGTGCCCTTATGATGTTAGAGGTCCACCACACTAGGTGATGTGCTGCTATGCCATGGCAGTGGGTAGGAGCCTACAGACAATACCGTCTCTCACCTCCTATGGCTTAACAGAGGCCACCTTTAAATTAGTTTGCTACGCACTAAGGGGGCATCGTAAGGGAGATAATGGGAGGAGCAGTACCACAAAGCTTGAATGATCACCTTGTGCCAGGACTAGGGCACAGTTGAAAAGCAAAACAGCCGGAAACAAAAGGGAAGATGTTTTAAGTGAAATGCACTAGAATGTCCTCCCTCTGTCTTCCAGCAGCATTAGCTCCTTGGAATCCTTGTCAGCCAACACTCACCCAAATAGTAACTTCGTTGTGCTCAAAGCAAAATTGGTTAAATACTGCCCATAATCCAGGGTTTCCCTTGCTAAAACGTTCTGAACATTCTGATAGCAATGGAGATGTGGAACAAAATGTTTCAGTTCTAAAACGATTTCCTCTTGGATGGAATAGAATGCAGCTCTTGGATATAAGCATTAGTGTTAAGTGTTCTGAGAAACCCTACATGTGAACGTTTAAAAAAAATGCTCCTTATCATTAGAAGGCTGCTTATCTAATTCTGCTGAACATAAGGGGTGAGGATGTATATTAATTTAGGTGAGCATTTTTTATATCCAGCTTAACAGCCACTTCTTAACTGTAGGAAGCCATAATACTTGAATTGCACAAGTGTCTATTAAAATACATTTAATGATATTTGGAATGAATCTTCATGGTTATAACCATGGAAATTTTTAAGGGGTTCTGTCAAAGATGAGATTTCTTACTTTACATACAAAATACATAATTATAATGCTGTGTAGCCTCATAGATACGTATTTTATAGGTGTATCTAAAATTTTGTAAATAACTGTTTCAGTGTGATGAGTACAGCATTGGCCAGTATGGCTCAGTTGATTGGGTATCATCCTGCAAATCAAAAGGTCACAAGTTCAGTTCCCAGTCAGGGCACGTGCCTAAGATGCAGGTTCAGTCCCCAGCTGGGGCACCTGTGAAAAGCAACCAACTGGTGTTTCTCACATGGATGTTTCTCTTCCCTCTCTTTCTCCCTCCCTCTCTCTCCTTTCCTGTCTTTCTAAAAGCAATAAAAGAATGTCTTCAGGTGAGGATTTAAAAAAAATGCAGTAAATTTAATAATCCCTCCTTTCCAGGGGTTTTGTGACAATTGAAACTTACAGAGGTTGAAGGTAAAGTTGGATGAACTGTGATATCTTATGGCCTAAACTACACTCCCCTGTTACCCTTGTAGGATTCCCAGCTAAAGGAATTCAGTGAGTGGGTGTGCCTCAGTGGACTGAGTGACAGTCTGCGAACCAAAAGATATTCAACAGACAGTCAGACGGGAGATGGTGTGTCTATTAGTTTCAGTAACAACCAGTTACCAGTGCAGAATGCATAACCCTTAGCTCCCTTCCCTCACAGCCTAAGATGGCCAGGTCTGCAGAGCAGGCCTTGAATGTAGGTCCCCACAAGTACTTTGTTTTCCTGACTCAGACCTCATCATCTGTCAAATGGGAATAACAGTAGTAGCTCAGTAATCTTAAATCTTATTACTAAGGTAATATAAAGGAAGCTGTAGTACTGAGTTTTTTCCTCACTATAGAAACAAAATAATCCCGATGTCCATTTTCAATGCTACCCAATTATTTGTCAGTATATGTAAATTATACTTTTTTATATATGTACCTGTTCATGTACACGTTTTTCTTAAATTTAAATGGGATGTGTCTGACATGAAGGCAGGTGGTAGGTGTGCTCTGCACCCTCTAAAAGAATCCACTTGTGATGGCCAGCTTGTCATTCTTGACTGGACGGGCAGAGTCCCTTTTATGTTGGAAGTTTCCAAGGGTAGCTTCTTTTTATACCACGAATGGCCAGCTACAGTATTTGAAGGGGAAAAAAAGTGAGTTTTGCATGGGATTTATGCTCCTTTCTAAACTGAACCGATTTCTTATTCTTTCCTTCTTAGCTGACTTTTTAAAATTCATCATTTATTTCCTTATCCTCTATTTGTTTCTTCCTAGAAAATAAAGAAATAAAAACTTTTTACCAAAACCTTTTGGCCGTGGGCACAGAGATTCTAATCTAATGGCATTTCAAAAATGGACAATATGCTCCTATTTATAACACTAGATGGGGAACTTGGTATAATGACAATTCATTCGTATACTGGGACCAATTATAATCAGACCAAACCTAAGCCATGTAGGTATTGATGCCCACAATCTGCCTGACGTTTGTTCCCTCAGTCCCTTGCTCTCCTATTGCTTGATGTCACATTTATCCCAAGGGAAATGGAGAGTCTCCCACTTCCTAAGGAAAGCAGAGGATCAGAGCGATGTTATGAGTAGCCCTGTTCTCACAGGCAACTTCAGTCGTGGCCCTGGGTCCCTGGCATTATCAGGGCAGCTTTCAAGGAATTAAAATGGAGCTCGTAGGGTTGTAAAGACATGGAAATAGGGGCTCAGGTGAGAAGTGACTTTAATCAAAAACTCTCGACAACCTAAAAAACAAACCTGGCTTTCACCTTCCCCCAGACCTCAGAGCACATTCTTGCTCAGAGAACTGTGGTTTTTTTGGTACTCATGTGTGCAATTTTATTTTAATCTGCTTAGCCAAATAGAGTGAAAACCACATTCAGCAGTGTGTGGAACTTTTCAGTTAATTGGTTTTGGTCACATAGAGAATTTTCTGTTTCTGGATTAGGTTCTAAGAACATTAGCTAGATTTGTTTTATCCTCAAGAAAGTATAAGGCCTAATCCTGTCAATACTTTTAAGTCTTCCAAGTTTCGAGTTTGGGATTTTTTTAATTAAATAATTTTAAGGATCCTGATCCGATTTGTGTTATCGTAAAATTAAAAATGTTAAGCCTTAACCCAGACTTCCAGTATATAAATTTTGAATGTAAGAACAAATTTTAAAAAAATATATATAATCTATTTTCAAGTAAAATTGAGAGGCATCACTTACTGGTTCCGAAGAATCCTGAAGACTCTGGAGGGAGAGGAATCTGGATATACCCTCAAATGACTGTAAAAAACCTATTCCTATATGAATGCTCACTGTGAATTGTATAACCTCATCTACTTTAAAACAGACCTCCCTTCTAGCCAAATGGTGTTTTTGGTGGCCTGTTTTTAAGGCACTGCCATGTACAGAGTCGAGCCCCGCCTGGTGGGCAGCCGGCTACGCCCCGCCCTTGTGGTGCCCTGCGCTCAGATGAAACCCGCTCTCTCACTAGGACGTTTCACAGTGCTCCCCAAAGTCAGCATGGCCCCACCACCAGGGCCGGATAAGGTCAGCCACCTTTGACCTTGTCCTGCGTTCAGATGAATACCTACAATTACTTAGAACTTATGAAGGAGGGGAAGGTTGAATTGTGCTTTAATACAACGTAAACCCATGAAGATTGCAACCCAACACAAGAAGACAAAGAGCTGCCCTAGTCAGGGTGAACAATGGGAGGAAATATTAACCAGAGTAACTTATTTCAAACCCATGTCTGCAGAAATCCCAAACAGTCTTTGATTTCAGTTGGAGCCAACAATCAGTAGACAGTTTTCACCTCACCCTCTTTCAAGGCTCTAGAATGCAGCCTACTCCCTGCCTTGCCCCTCCTCCAGCGACTTCCTTTTTTGTGCAGGTAAGGAAAGTAGAGGAGTTATTAATGACTCATATTCCACTCTTCGCCCACACCCCTCACACCCTAGTGCCCAACAGAAGTTAGAGGAAGTGACAGCAGAGTAACCACCGAGCTTCCAAATATCACAGTCTAATTAATACCTGATAAACCCTGTGCTTCCCCGCTCCTACATCTTGCCCTCTTTTCCCTCCCAGGATAATGGTGAGAGGCAGTGTCTTCCCGTGAGCCACCCAAGTCAGAGCAGGGTGTGCAGCGACTGGAGAAAAGCAGCTGCTGAGAAGGGGGTACTACTGAACAAATGGGTGTTGATAGCCTCATCTGACAGCCCCTTACTCTGTAAAGTGCAGCTTTGTTAAGCCTGTGACTAACGTGTGACGCAGTGTCAGCAGGACGTTCCAGCATGCTCCCCGCAGCAGCTGCCTTGTCACGAGCACATTTTACATGGTGGAAGTACCATGCCACGCGTAGCTGCATCCTTTTCCCCAACTTAAATAACAAGCATTTTTCCACATTATCAAGAACTCTGTTTCACAAACCTCACTTTTAATTGTTGCCTATTCTTCAACTATACACATGTCCCATAACTTACTTGGCTATTTTCCCATATATGGATATTTAAGACATTAATATTTTGAGTGTTGAAAAAACAACCCCAAATGCTAAGTTTGTGAGCACTTGAAGATGCTAGGGGTGGTTCCTGGACGAGAAACTATCCGACCTGTCCATCGTTCTACTTGCTGACCCTAATCCCCAGTCAGCAGCCCCATTCCTTTCTTCAGGGCTCCTCGTCCCTTTCTCAGCGGAGCCCACTTGCACCCTCCCGATCCACCAGCACCTCCTGTCGCCTCCTGAACACCCGTGGCTCCTGCCAAGCCCCACTTGTCTACTAAGGCAGTGATTTTCAACCTTTT